TCAACCAGGCCAATTTTGCCCCCCACGGAACATGAGTCAATGTCTGAAAACATTTGTTGTTGTCACAACTGGGGGCAGGGTGGGGGTGGTACTGCTGGCATCCTGGTGAACAGAGACTGGAGGTGCTAGGAGAGATCCCACCCCACTGCACTGACTCCCGTGACAAGAATGATCTGACCAGAAATGTCAGTAGTGTCAACATGGAGAAACCTAGGTACGGGGTGTGATAATTGCTATATTCAAAACAACTACCACGTTTGTAGTGTTTTCTGAGCCTGGCTGTGTTCTGTGGTCGAGATGGACATACATTACTATTACCCCTAGCTAGGTTTATGGGTTTGGGAAGGCTGAATTGCACCCTGATGTCAGTTAGAAGGAGGAGGGAACGGGCACAGAGAGCTGGGGGGATGGTGTGCCACCACTTGGAGGTGACAGTTAGGGACATCTGGGGAAATGCAGGCTGCTCATTATGGTGAAAGCTAGAAGGTGAGGGAGCAAGAAACTCCAGAAGAGGCTATGGAAATTGCAGAGTGGAAGCTGGAAAATGGATGGCGTTGTATGACATTCTGAGGCACCTGGTTTTTGTTTCAAGGCTGTAGAAAACCAAAAATGGTTTTCATGTTTGGGTTTGTCTGTTTTGGAAGAAGTATGGAAGGAGGCAACTGGAGATAATTAGGAGGCTGTTGCAACCATTTCATGTAGATTGAGTCAGGGAAGTGAAAGTAGGGATGGAAATATAAATAGTTGAATTTCAGAGATATTGGTGAGGTTGATTGGTTTGGGTGCCAAAGAAGGGGAGAGTTAGGGTCAGGTCATTGATTGTTGACGAGGGCAAGCATCGATAAAGCACATGCGCCCCTTCCCCAGAGGGAGGTATGTAAATCTTGTCAGCAGTACCTGCTTCTAGCTTCAAGCCCAGCAAATGAGGGGATGTCTCTCTTTTCCATCAGCTCTGGACAAAACCTATGGTCTGAAGGTTAAGCCAGCCGTTGCAACACATTGGCACACAATGGGGGAGAGAAGACAGGGTTGCTGCAATAAAATCTGATAAAAAGGAGGCGAGAAGGGACATATCCATAGATACTGTGTTCCGTCCCGTTGAATGAGAATTGCAAGACTCCTGCACACTAGCTGTGGTGTGGACTCCCGAGTTGGCCAGGTTGGCTGCTTTTGGTTTTGTTCTCTGAGAAGATCTCCCTTGTCCAGTGTCCTTTGTGGCTTATCTGGGATGGGTGTATAAGTCATCTTTCAGCTCAGATGTCGTCTCCTCAGAGAGCTTTTCTCTGACGTCTGAGTAGAAAGTAGGCATCCAGTTTTTAATCGCCTTGTTGGAGCTAGGGATAGGGCGTGTGTTAGTTATCTGCAGCATTCAGTTCATTTACGTGTTGTACTTTTTGTGCCTCCGTTATGCTGGAATGTAAGGTCAGGAGGGTGGGAGGGGCCTTGGCTGATGTGTTCAGTCTGAATCTCTGATACCTGGAATGGTATCTGGCTCAGGATGTTTTTTGAAAGAATGAGGAAATGAATGAGAGAGGAGAAGAAAATGCGGAAGGAGGAACCGGTTTTTAAATTTTGTTGTCTGTGTTTTGGTGGGGAAGAGGACATTGAATTCAGTTTTGGATATGAGTTTTAGAAACATTGATATTAAATATAGACAGGAACATAGGCTTGTCAATAGGCCATTAAACATACAATAGGCACAGATGTCCAGCTGGCCATTAAACATGCAAAGTGAAGCTCAGGGAAATTACAGTAAAGGTCGCTAACATATACTGAGCTTTGCCATGTGCCAGTCTCTGTTCTTAGCACTTTACTGATCTTAGTAAAGTGGAGCTATCAATTTATGGAAGCAGAAGCTGAAGCTATTGAGTGGTCATGTCCAGAGGGGGTGCATGAGAATTAAATAGGGACAGAATCCCGAGGTACAGCAGCATCTGAGAGGTGAATCAAGAAAAAGGCACAAGATCCTAGGGAACACTGGTGTTTAAGGGATGAATGAAGAAAGTGGTGACTCTTTGAAGAAGCAGCTACAGAGCAGGAGGGTTGGGGTGAGGGAAATCTGGGAGAGTGTGGTGTCTCTGAATCCAAGGAGGGAGGAGGGATTCCTGGATGTCTCACAGATCTGAAAAGTGGCCATGGTCTTCTGGATCGAATAAATGATGTTGGGAAGAGTTGTTTCAGGAAACCCTCGGGAAAGGAAATAGGTTGAGGGTTTGAGAATTTCAGGTTGCTGTCAGGAAGGAGCTAGTAGAGAGGGAGAGTTTGGAAATGCAGTGGAGGGAGAACAGTGGTGCTGCCTGACTGCTGGGGAGGTGGGAGTTGCTGGCAACTGAAGTGTTTGATGGAGGAACATTCTCAGACATAGATTTTAGTTTATTTATTTATTTATTTTTTTTCCTGTAGAACCTTCTGATTTCCTTGTTCTGTAATTTTCCAACGGATCAAGAGGCTATTGAACTGTACAGGCTGCACGTTGCTTCCCTGGTTCATTGTCAGTGAAAGAGCTGGGGACAGTAGGGCCTTGTCGGCTACAGCCACTGACTCAGCAGCAAGGACAGAGGTTCTGCGTTCCTTGCTTTACCTTCTTTCACTGGCATCAGCTGTTAGATTTGTTTTTCCAGGTTACCTTGGCGTCCCATGGTTGCATTTTCACTGATATCCCCTAAGCCTAGAATTCTGGTGGCACAAAAGCTATCTTTCACAAGTAGTCAGGCTATCAGTAGTTGAGATGGCGCAGTAATGTCTGCAACCAAACATTTAATGAAGAAAATCTAAATTACATCTGCATCTTATAAAATTGAAACTGTATCAACTTTTGTTTTTTCTAGTGACAGGTATTGGCTTTCTGGTTGGGAACATAAAGCTAGTGTTTTTGGAATATGCTTTCCAAATATAAAATGTGTCTTAGTTTCCTGATAATGTGGATTCTGAAACTTTTAATCTTGCTTTAGATTTTATGAATTTGTATCTAGTTTTAACATGCCCATAGATAATGGAGCCAGGTAACATAGACTAAGTACTTAAAAACAAGTGCATTTCTCTTTGTCACATTTGAAAGAAAATATATTTTATGGAAATAATTAAAAAACTGACTTGGTTATTTGAAAATAGTTTCTCATAATTGTCATTATATACTCTGAAGCCTAAGATGTTCTCTCGTTTGATAATCTGTTTAAAAAAGTTTACAAAAATAGTTACCTGTAGGTTTTTGTTTTATAACTAACCTCCTCCATCAAAGTTAATAGTTATGCTTTCAGTGAAGTGAAGAGCCGTCAGCAGAGTATCCTGACTAGATATTTGATTCTTGCTGAAGCAAAACTGCCTTGCAAATCTGGGAAAGGCTAGATAGGGAAGATGGATGGTTTAGGAGGCGAGGCATATTTGTACAGTGTCCTATAAGGTGGTAACATTTGGAACTCAGATTTTCAGTAACTCCATAGAGTTACGTGACGGATACAGAAGCACATAGCTCCCTCAATGATTCAGCCTGTTGGCATTTCTTAGCTTTTTGTCATCAAGATTTCTTTACACTCTTAAAATTTATCGAGGACCCCAAGAAGCTTAATATTTGCTATATTACAGATTAAAAGTGATAAAATTGAAAATATAAATTCATGAAAAATACCAAAAATAAATTCATTATAAGGAGCATATATTTATGAAAAATAATATTTTACAACATCATGAAAAAATATCATTGCTGTGTATGTTTGTCAATCTCATTAACATCTGGCTTGATGAAAGACAGCTAGATTCACAAATGTGCTTCTGCATGCAGTCTGTCATTTGGAATATTTCACTGTAAGCCATGAGAGAATGAGAGTAAAAAAGACAACTCATATTTTAGTAGCATTAGGAAAACATTTTTGAACTCATGAGCTCCTGAGAGGATTTCAGGGACCTCTTGGCAGGAGTTGAGTGGGAGGGGGATCCCTGGACTACACTTTGAGAACCACTGGACAAAACTATATATGTTTCTTGATGACCATTTCCTTGGTTTCCTTTCTTTTGCCCCTTGGGGCCTGGTAAAATATTCTTTATGTTGACTCCTCAAATGTGTTTACTGATTTAAATTTCCTCTATAAAATTCCAGGGGAAGGAACCATCCAGTGAATCAGGCCTTCACTTCCCTTTCACGATGCCTTTCCCCTGAATTAGTCATGCTGTAAGAATCTATCTCACTCCTTTGACTCAGCCGCCATAGAGGTGCCACCAGACTCTTTTTACGATGCCTGATGACATTGTAGACTGGTTACAAATCAAGATAAGTTGTTCAGGAAAAAAATACTCCCTTTGCAGTACAAAGAATTCTAGGAAGTCTTGGAGGTTGCTGGGAGAAAGAAACTAGAATTGTTTCCTAGAAACAGAGTGGAAAAGTCTTTGGAGAAGTTTTTGGGGGTCTCGCTGGCACATGGGATCCACTCTGCTCTCCAGGAAGCGTATGCCGTCTTCTAGTTCGCATTTCTGCACCAAGGCAGTGGCAGGTGGCCCGCAGAGTGAGTGGGAAGCAATAATCAGCTCTCCAAGTAACAGCATTTTCATTTGCTAAATGTTATGTTAATGTTCTCCAAACTGATGGTAGAATTATACAAACTTAAGCTGAAAATATGCATAGTGTTCATATTAAGTTTTCAGACTTCTGATAAAATGTAGGTAAATAATATCAAAAAGTATCTTAAAAATTACACAGCACATTTTGTATAGAACAAATATGTGTACAACTGACATTTACATTGGAACAATTTTATTAGCTATGTCAGAAAAATGCCTGCATGAGTATAGTAGCATAAAAACAGTTGCTTTTGCATTTACCTTGCAAAGAAATGGAAGCAGCAACATTTTAAAAAGAGCATGAGTTTGTGTGCTTTATCTGGATGAGTAGTGGCATTTTCTAACTGCTTGCCTCTCGGGCACGTAAGTCATCATGGTACATTCTTACTAATAGACTTTGAACTTCTCTCTCTGTCCTTTTCTTCTGGGCCGTATATTGCCGCCTTTAGCGCTTCAGCATGGAAGGGATCTCAAATGTCATTCAGAATGGCCTCCGCCACACCTTTGGAAATTCAGGTGGAGAGAAACAGGTGCTCGGTTATCCTTATTTTCCTCATTCTCTGCTTTTTCATTTCCTGTGTAAGTGAAGATCCTGAAAGCTGATAGTTTTACTAATTTACTAAGACCATTGCTTAAAGAGAGAAATAAAAGTTTATTATAAAAATTCATTACATTTATAGTCTTGATAATGAACAAAATTTCCCTTTGAGGAAAAAGCATTTTTCAAATTGGACAGTAGATTAAATGCATTCTTAATACATGTTTTAGAGCTCCATTTCTCACTCTTAGTTTTAAACAAATAGACATTAACATTTTAACATATTGTATTGCATGTGTAGGAAATCTGCTTGTGAAAATAACTAAACTAAAATATGTGGCTCTAATTCTAAAAGTCTAAGAAGCAAGATGTCATTTTTGGGGGAGGAAGGCCAGAGGTTGGTACGTTTGAGACTAGAGTTCTAGGTCAAAAATATGTATAGAGTATATCTTACCTCCTTTAAATGAAATTTATGTGTTTTTAAGGTGTATTGCATAGTCAGCCAACTCAAGTTGTCTGCCAAACGAGGCATGCGACATTATTTATACAAGATTATACATAGATATGAATGTATAATCAAGTCTCTAGCAATTTGCTTTTGATTCACATTTTTGTATACTGATTGAAGGAATATCACCAACATGGGAAACGTTCACATGAATGGGTATGCTTCAAATTACCTTTCGCTATATGAAATTTTCACCTTAAAAGAGAAAGCTCTTTAAGTTAGCTCTTCTGTGCAGACTAAGAAGGTGTACACAATGTAGCTTGTAGGAAGTTTAGCAAAAGAATGCCTAGATCAAATGCCTGGAGTTTTTACTGAAGGTAGTTATGTGTTTCTCAAAAAGGGGGATCATTCCTATTAAAGAGGGAAGGTTCACACGGACATCTGCAGCTCATCAGTGAGCTCCATGAAGGGCTGTTTGAATTTTGGTTTTCATTCCAGTGCCTCTCACCTCTCTCAACCTCACAAGAAGGCAAGGAATCTTCCAGACTCCACTGAGTGGAGCAGGGAGGTCTGAAAACGCAGCCAGGTAGCCAGCGAGCGGGCCAGGGCGCAGCCTCCTGCTGCCTCTCCAGGTTGCCTGACACGTGCAGAGTGAAGCCAGGAGGACATCATTTCTGGCCTTTTGTTGTTGTTGTTCTTTCCAAAGAAACATTCAATTATACAATTGGGCATCACCTGTAAGAAGTCTACATCAAAAAGATGGTGGAACACTTAAGTGCCTCCAAGATTGAACTATGCAGTTTTACCAGTTTTCTGGACTTAGGGATCCAGTTATTGTAAAGCAGCTTTCTTTATCCTGTTTTTCAGTTGTGGGCAGGATAAGATCACTCAATGAGGATTAGAGCTGAGATTTAGGGCATGAGGTTAAATCATGGGTGGAGCTAAAGAGATTCCAGGTGAAAACCACTGGCTTTCTATATGAGCACATGTGAAATGCATGGAACTATTTTTTTGGTGGGATGGTAAGAGTAGGAGAATCTGGACAATCATTTATGGATTATGCTTTCATGGGATTAGTTATAAGACATGGCGCTGTTACTTGTGAGCCTTTACAAGTAGTGAACTAGGAAGTCTGTGTCAATTTCAGACATGAATTTTCATTATTCATTTCCCCTTAGGCCATTCTCTATTTTCACTTTTCTCCTTTAATACCTAAAAACGTTTATAATGACTTACCCAATAATTTAAAATAATAGTAACGCATTTCTAAAATGATTTAAGTGTGTCTTTGTTAGCTTCTGCAAGAAGCTAGTGTGTGTTTTTCAAAGTTGTCGTGTTATATACGTGGACCATTTGTTCAACCAGAATAAAAATGGTCTGAAACAGAATTATTTTGCTGTTGGAAATTACTTTCTTGTGCAGAACTATTAAAACGATGTTTTTAGTTTAAATTGCTATTTTTAAAATGTGTTGAAAAATATGCGAGGAGAATATGAGATAATACTTTAAAAATGAACAAATTGAGTAAATCATCCTCAGACTTAGTCCTATGAAATTTTCAATAACTGAAATGCAAAAAAGTGGTTGTTTCTGTTGACACTAGGTTTGTGTGAAGCAAATAGAGATGGGCAAAAAAAAAAATGAGCTCCATCTGAGATAGTAAGATACCTTTATTCCCATACAATACCTGTGTTTTCATTACCAAAGTAGCTTATGTTTTTATATTATGAAATAGACCTTCTAGTAACAGTATCAAATTTTTTGGAGATAAGGTAATTCCGATTTAAGTGACTTTTTTTTTTTTTTTTTTAACTTGGCAGTATTTGACTACAGTCATTCCTTATGAGAAGAAAAACGGACCACCATCTGTTGAAGATCTTCAAATATTAACAAAAAGTGAGCAAAGAAAAAATGAAACTATTACCTGATTTACTTTTGCTGATCAGTAAACACCTGACTTTAATTGACTGATTTTGTTGTTAGTGTTTTGTCAATTTAGGATGTAAATGATGCATATAATTGTTTATTTTTATAAGAATGAAGCCAACAATGGCTGTGACATTGAATACAACAGTAACTCTAGTGTTGATTTGTAGTTTTTCTGACCTTGTGAAATATTTATGAGCTAAACTTTTGGGAAGAAGCATAACCTGAATCTCCATCATCTCTTACGTGTTTAAGAACGTATCCATTTATCATAAATAAAATTCTTCATGGATCTTACATATCTATGACTGTCAGTAACTGAATAGGAAGGATTTAGGGTAAACACTTTTTTTCTTATGTATGTAGAACCCGAGGGAGTAATTATAGGTAGAACATAAATTGACAGTGATGTTTTAAGAACATGCGTTCAAGGCCGGGCGCGGTGACTCACGCCTGTAATCCCAGCACTTTGGGAGGCTGAGGCGGGTGGATCATGAGGTCAGGAGATCGAGACCATCCTGGCTAACACGGTGAAACCCCGTCTCTACTAAAATACAAAAAATTAGCCAGGTGTGGTGGCAGGCGCCTGTAGTCCCAGCCGCTGGGGAGGCTGAGGCAGGAGAATGACGTGAACCCAGGAGGCAGAGCTTGCAGTGAGCCGAGATCGCACGCCACTGCACTCCAGCCTGGGCGACACAGCAAGACTCCATCTCAAAAAAAAAAAAATACATGCATTCATTCAGTAAATATTTGGTAAAGGCCTACTCTGTACCAGGCCATGATCTGGGCACTTGGGATACTTTAGTGAACAAAGCAGACAAAAATAATCCACCTTCAAGGGGCTTGCATTAAAAAAAATTGTTAGATTTAAATATATATGATACTGAGTATCTCTTGTGATAGCCACAAATGAGCACTGAATTCTGGTTCTATCCCTGTTATTTTCAGGGATATCCTTGGAAGTTACTTACTCTCTTTTGCTCACATTGAAACAGTAGCATACAAAATATTTGTTCTATTTACTTCCCAGTAAATAGATTAATGTATGTGTGATTTCGGCTAAGTTACTATCAGTTAGCCTTGTTGTCACTGCCGTTAAAATGAAGGGATTGAATTTTGCTGATCTGTTAGGTCTTTGTGATGGTAAATATTTGTGATACTTGCTAATTAGGGGGGAACCAAATGAAAGAACATCACATGGATGAGTATTGATTGACGATATTTATTTTGGAAATTCAAGATATGGAGGAATGGGCATGGAAAACCTAAGAGTAGAAGCAAGTGTCATATTTCTTAGCTCCCTGCCTGCTAACTCGGAGCTTTTATTCTTTCCTTTGGTGAATAATTCTTTAAAAAGTTTTATATTTAAATATGGATAAATCAAGTGATGCCAGCCAGTCTGAAATAAAAAATCAAGAGATTAACTGGGTAGCCAGCCCTCTTATTTTCAGGAAGAACTTCTGAAGTTATGCGTGTCCAAGATCACACAGGGGGATGGTTAATTACAGAGCTGGGTCTCTTAATTCCCAGGAAATGATACTTTTAATGATGCTGGTTTTTGGTATGTGATTTTATATAGAAGTTAGAAAAAATTTTAAACATGATTGGAAGCAGAAATACTGAACATGGTAGCCCTCTAAAGAAGGGAACATAAATAAATATTGCTTATAAGCCAGGAATTACTGGCAGGCCTCCGCTTCTCAGATCAAGAACAAATACTTCGTTGGTCAAACTAAAGTCATCATCTAATTCCACCATCGAGATGTCTTTATAGGTTGATACAGTTTGGAATCTTTGGACATATTCGGGTCCAAAGCTCCTTTTCTTTCCAAAAGAAGAGCCCTGTGGAGACAGTCACAGTGTTTATGGATATATAGTCTTCCTCCTAAAAGCTATTAAGGGATTCTGGGTATAATAATAATGGTAATAGAAACTTTAATAATATTAGTAGTGTTAGTTACAGTTAATACATAGCATGTACTATGTGCCAGGCACTACGATAGGACCTTTGTATCTGAATTAGTAGCTTAGTCCCCATTCACAAACCTTGGAGATGAAATCTAATTATTCTTCTCATTTCACAGAGGAAGAGCTTGGTACAAAGGTGGTTAAGTAGCTTGCTCCACATCACACAATTAGGAAGTGGCAGAGCCAGGGTTTAAACCCAGGAAGGCTGATTTGACAGTTACACTGTTTTGCCTTGTCGTATCGGTGGGGAAAAACATGAAATATTTTTACCAGGATGCTTGGGAGAAAATTTGAGTGGGCAAACTCTGTTAAATTATAATATTTGTGAGTTTATCTCGACCTGAATGATCTAGCTTAAAAAAGAAAAACATTATACTAGGTGGCTGTTTCTTCTCTTTTAGTTTTTACTTAGAAAATAAAATTGTCCAATTAGGATGAGGTTAATTCTCCCAGGTTCCTCCCCTAGTGCAGAGGAGGCGACAGCCAGGCAGATGCCAGGTGCTGCTTCATGGAAGTCTGTTCTTTATTTGGGTCTTTTCTTTGAAAGTTTCAAGGAGTCTGACAGATACGCTTGTTGGGGGTATAGCTAACTTTCCATTTCTCTGAGAGTTTCTCTAGTTTGCTTGATCTACAGCACTGAGGTCCTCTTGTTGCACCGAGTTCATTGAGGTGCACGTTACTGTAACCCACTTTCCAGTATTATTATAGAGCGAGGCTCCTTGTAAATAATCCAGTTCCTCTTTTTTGCCTCCACTGTTTGGAAATTTTAAAACAGGGAAGTAACTCTCAGGTAAGCAGGATATTCTTACCTAAAATAAATTCCTGTAAACTTACTCCACTAAAATAAATTATTGGGCCTTTACTGTTGTATTCCTTTATCAGGAAAATCATCTATAATTTGCATGAGTCAGTTATATCCTATAATTAAGGAAGATGAAGGCCACAATGATTGAAATTAAATAATATTTTTGATCTGGATTTTTAATCGTTGTCTTTTCCCCCTTTTCTGTTTTGCAGTTCTTCGTGCCATGAAGGAGGACAGTGAAAAAGTTCCGAGCTTGTTAACTGATTATATTCTGAAAGGTGAGTTTTATAATGGTATAGGTGCGATGGCCGGGAGGTTTGGATTAGTCAGAAAATACATCGTCTTGCTAATACATTAGATAGTAACTTCCCAATGCACAACTTTCATTAATCTTGTTATGCAGGGTGAGGATTAGCTACATGACTGACTTCTGTCAACATTATATATTACGGTTTTATAAAATTTAACTTTTATTGGAGGTTTTGGGCTGGAAATAATCTCCACAGCTAAACTATAAACATCGAGGGAGGTAGTAGAAGAAAATGAGTGAGATGGCGCCATAATCGTGGGTATCAGATGTTGGCAGGTTGGCACTGGGAAGTTTGAGAAGGGTGGTCTCTGTCTTCTTGAGGACAGTGGAGAGGAGGAGGACAGATCATTAGTGAGGATGGATGAAGGAAGTCACATCTGTGAACAGTGCCAAAGGGAATATGAAAGGGACTGATGTAAGGCACAGCGAGGGAAGCGGGGAAATAAAAAGAATGGACTTTCATAAACCCGGGACAGTGAAACACCAGCCACAAATCTTAGAGGCAAGATGAGGCTCACACAGGATGGGAATATTGATGAGGCAAAAGAAGAGTGAGAGGTTGAGTTACTTTGCTGAGGAAAGAGCAAAATTTGAATGATAAAGAAGGGACAGAAGAACTTTAGAAGCAAAATTAATACTTTTTAATGAAATATTTTTTAAAGTAGCAGGTATTCAGAGACCAGATTTTGAAAGCATCACAAAATGCATCTTGTAGTGTTTGATCAAATTTTGAGAGCAATCCTCTTTTAGTAACAGTCTTCTTTGGGTTCTTTCTCTTCTCCATTAAAGTTAGCTGAGCACAAGGAAGATGAAGATTTCTGAGACATTAGAAATCTCAGATGGACTTTTCTTAAACCATAGTGTCTTGAAAGGGGAACCTCGGTAGTATACTCAGGGTGCTCAAAGTGAATCACACGTTTCACTTTTAAGAGTCTTGATGCTGTAAGAGCTAAGAAGCATGAGCTAGCCATTAGTGGGCTAACACTGGGGTAGAACAGACTTGAGTTGACATCATTTTTAAAAATAAGCTGTTTTTCTGATGGAGGATTTTCTCCCTATTAAATTCTGATTTTTTTTTTTTTTAATACCTGACATCTTTGTTTGCTTTTGTGTTGTGCTAGCATTGGTATGAAAGCTGGATTGTTCTGAGGTTTGTTCTTCTAGATGTGAAACAGGAATGAGATGAACATAAAGAACATGTCTTAAATTTTAATTATAGCGGGTCCCTATGGCTCTGTGAGGGCCAGAGATACAATGAGCTTCTGAAGCATTCTCTAGCTATGTTAGCATTTAACTGCATGGAAGGATGTTATGACCCAAAGAACAGAGTCCTCTGGGGGAAAATGATTTTTAATTCTTTACTCTGAAAACCTAGGACTGTAATTGTGAACCTACCTATACCGCATGCCTTAGGGAAGCAGCACCCATCTAATTCTGCTCCTCATGCTCGGGCCGCTGGCTCCTGTCTGTAAGCCCAGTTCTATCTATACCGTACCTGCTTCTGATGCGCGCTGTCTGTGTGCATGTGTTGTGGTTTCGTCTTGGCTTTGTATTGTGAGGACTGGGTGGAAAAGCAGCGAGGATTCAGACTACAGCAGAGACTGTAGTAGAGAAAACAAAGACGGGAGTGTCATGCGGAGATGTATTTAAGCGTGTGGGAAGGTGGTGAAATGGGGTCATTGAAAATGCTCTTTTCCACCCATCCTGAAAATTCACCGCTGGTTAACTGTTCCTCCTCCTTGGGGGCCAGTCATAGGACACTTGGCCTGGGAGGGGGATATTGCTCAAGGGGGTAATACTCCTTCCCCTTTTTTGGCTAGTTTGTTGTTGTTTTAACAGATGAGTGTGGCTTGGCTGCCTAAATACACCATCTTAGTTTAAATGCAAACATCCGAAGTGAAAGAAGGTAGAAAAGTGGTCTCATTTGGGCCTGAGAAAGGGAGTAGGGTGGGCACTGTCTATGCTAATTGAGCTTCTCCTTCTCACACCTGCTTAATGACCCCACTGCAGCCTGCCGCCACTGCCGCCTTGCCGGTAGGACCCAAGGCTCATTCTGAAGTAATGTACGCGTGGCTGCTGCCGTGCTGATCCTAGTTAGAATAAAAATGTGTGCAGAAACTTGCACCCTTCTTTGACTTCCCTAGGGAACCTGTTTGCTGTGTCGCAAGCCTCATGGTATAGGGCGAATGTTAGGGGCTTCTTTCTCCAAGTGGCACCCTGAGAGACATGGCCTTTTGGTATCTCATTTCTGGGAAATTCTGTGTGTTGAGAGAACTCATCCTTGTTGGGTATAGCCTCTTAAAACCTTTAAGAAATTGCTACTATCGATCTTTGCATTAACATTTAGTTCTCATTACTTAATGTTTTTAAATGTACATGTAAAATGTATGTTTTGTGTAAATGCATACAAAATATACATTTTTACCTAAAAGTTCTCTTTTCCTTTTAGTTCTGTGTCCTACATAGAGCAGCAACTTTATCTACGGTGGGCTCCGAGCTAGATTTCCTACAGCATTGTTCTGAAAGCTGGCTACCATTACCTTCTTGCTATTGGAAACTCAGCACATTTGAACTTGGGTTTGATTTAGTATTAACAGATCTTGACTTCACTAATTCTTTATATTATAGAACCAATGGAAATATGGGCACTATTTTGAATTCTAGAGATGGTTTTTGTTAAATCTAATAATTATGAACTGTTCTCTTAGTAGAGTAAGAGAGTAATATTAATTGTGCATGTGCAGTTATATTTCTCATTAACTGACAGTATGCCCATTTGTTTTTATGGCTTTCTAATCTAAAGTGCACTGATGAACTAGATTAAAGCCTTGGGAGATTTATACTATAAATTCAGTGATGGCAAGAACCAACACTGATTTTTGTGAGAATTGTCAGTATAAATATTACCTACCAGTATTGTTCAGAGAGACTGAAACATAATAAACTTGGGCTGCTCTTGAAGAAGCAAAACCGGAATATGCATTACTTTGGCTTAATACTTAGTGAACATTGGAAACTGTTGGTGATGATGGGTTTTGTCGCTTGCTGCTTGTTTAACCATTGGTCAAATTTTAACCATTAAATTGCCATTCACTTTTAGAATCTTGTACTGTTTAACTTTTGATTTTCAAATGTTCTGCTTCAGGTGTCTGTGAAGAATTGTACTTTAAAAGTTCGTATCCTCTGAGGTGCTTGACAAAGTGTACACTGCAGAATTGCCCATTCTCATTACGGTGTCGTATTTTATTCATGCCTGTGTGTTTTAAGTATGAATTCTAGATACAGCTACTTATGGATTCATCAATATCATGAGGACTTTTGCTGGTTCCAATCAAATCAATGGCATTTAATAAATTTTTTAAGAAGTAAAAATATGTTTGAGAGCCTTATATTTGGGATTTTGTGTTCTATTTTTTTTTCGTTACAGTACTAGATTCTTTCCCTTAATTCTACACAGAGCCCATTGCTACAGTGTGTGAGCAGATGAAACCCTGATTAGTCCCAGAATGCTACAAAGGAGAAGAGGAGGACTTTTTTTTTTTTTAGAGTATGCTGAGCTGCTGTGGAGTGACAGAAGTCCTGCTCTTTCTCTGGGGCTGTGAGACATTTCAGACAAACAGCCATGCAGCCCCTCCCACAGACGACATGGGACCTGCTATAGGAAGCTTTCACAATTCCACTTGAACACTGGTGAGCAAACAGGGCTATACATATTCCTCACTGCACTCAGCAACTGAGACGCCATGACTGCAAAGGGCAGGGGCTCGGTTTGAAGTTTAATGCCTGCTTGGCATTTCAGCCGTCATCTCTAGGGGTATGAGAAACTTAGGATGGTTTCCTTATTTTATTAACGTTCTTATGTGGAACTTACTTGGCCCTTTCCCCAGATACACACATACCCAGTAATATTAATAATTTAAATTAATTTGATGTGAATTTGCAAAAATGATGCCTTGTACTGAAGAAATGTAGCTTTAAAGGGTATATGATGTAGCAGAAAGTCCTTAGGGGATATATTTTTTTAAAGGAGATTCAACAGTGGTCTGTTTATAGCTCATTCTTAAATTGATGCTTCTAAAATGTATGAAAATATACCTATTTTTTCCTGTCAGCTCAAAGTCTCTTTGTAGTCAGGCTTCCCCTGATTTTGCTTGGTAAAGTCTTTCTTCTTCAGCATCGAACCACTGTAGGGTTTCCCACCACAATCCTCCTGTGCGTAGCAAGTTAATTTTGATACTAGTTATGAGCACGTTTCTGACAGCAGGTAGGTTTCTTGTCTGCCTAAAAACAGCACCGCTCTGCTGCGTACTCTGGGAGACACTTTTCTTTTTGCAAGGATTCCTTGGGAAAGACCCGCCTAACGACAAAGGCACGGGGACTTCTTGTGACACCAGAGGTTCATTGGACTGATAACCTTAAAAGGACACTTTGTCTTTCGGATCCCAGAGATGGAATCTTTTTGGAAGTTACACTGTGTGATTTCAACTCACAATGTTTATTTCCTGCCAAGAATCAGGTTGCAGATAATTCTCTTACAGCTTTGTGTGTTTTGAAGAAAACAAAAGCAAACTGTAGAGCTATGGTGCACTCCAAGTGCCATATATCTGTTTTATTCTTCAGGAAATTAGATTTGTTTTTCTTTTACAAGAGCACAACAGGAACCAAAGTAAAAGAGTAATAGATACAGCACTCAGGATAAATCATATCTTTAAAATAATAAAAAAATTTACACCTTGTCCTATATCCTGTTAGTATTTTCATAATATGGCCATGATTGAAAAAACAAAAAGCAAGCATCTACAATTTTTTTTGATAAAGACTTTATGCCAGGAATGGATTAATTATCAACAAAATTCATACTAATCAGGCTGATGTCAATCTATTTTGGTAACATATCATTAACAAATTTATTTTGGAAAAAGATAAAAATATTGCCCCTTGATAATAAATCTTTTTTTCCTTTGATGCAAACAGCTAGAACACCTTTTTCTTTTTCTTTTTGATATTCTAAGACAAAAAAATGGTTAATCTTCAGATTAATAAATTAGGTCATTATAATAATAAATTAATTTTTTTTAAAGTTCAGCAACCTCTGTCCAAGTATTTACAACAATACTTGAAAGTTCCTTTACAAAACAGAACACATTTTCTTTTCACATTAAGCATACTGGGTATCTGTGTCTTTCACAACAAGCATTTTTAAAAGAAAACTCAATGCACAAATGGGTTAATTAGTATAAAAGTGCTAAGGGCTGTTTGAAAAGTTAACACTATAGTATACAGTCAGTTATATTTGAGGCATACTACAACAAACTTCCAGCTTATTGTGGACAATATTCCAGTAGTTGTTTCAAACCATTGTTTGAAGAAAAAAAAAAAATCCAGGAGCTGATTAGTGATGCAGATAAGAACTGCCATCAATGTCTCTGGCCAGTGAGCAAATTGAAAACAAACTGAAAGCAAATCCAAATGAGGAAGATTTTAATAAAGGAATACCCTTCTCTATACCAGGTGCAATGCTGACTGCTCAAGGCGTGCGTGCACACAAACACACACACACATACTCACACACATCTTTCCAATTAAACTGCAGGTAGAATGAGATTTTGTGTTATTCAAAAAAATTTGTAAGTGATCAAAGCATTGATATGGAATGCCTGTTTATCTGCCTTTGTTCTGGTTAAAATCTCAAATACATTCAACAGGAAAACATAAATTGTATGTGTATAAATATATATGTGTATATATATTATATACACATGCACACAAATACTTTTGTTTTTTGAAGCATAGATAGTTACATAAATACTCCTATAATTGCTAAAGTTTAAAAAGGCATTTTTTTTGAGCTTCAACAAAGGTGCTTGAATAATATACAATTAAAATGAAGTAGTTTCTATTTTGTAGAATCAGTATATAATAAGGAAAAAGAATCCCCAAACAGTCTTTTTTAAAAAAGTTTCTTCTTAAGCTAGAGCTTCAACAAAAACTATGAACAACCAACAATATAACAGAACAAAGCAACAACAAACAGTGAAATATAGCCCCTGGAAATGCCTGGTGTTCGCCACCCTCTCCCTCCTTCCTGTCACGTTGTTGTAAGAAAAGCTCCAGTGCTCACATCAAGAAATGACTTAGATCTTGTTCATGTGTTGACTCTGCTAGGAACTGGCTGATTGGCTTGGAAGAAAATAAAAGCAGCAAAAAGTATAACTGTATATATCCTTAATAACCCGCTTTAGAGAAATGTTGCTATCGCATTTCTCTGGCTTCCTCACTGCCTACTGCAGCTGTGACTGTATAGAAAAGAAACTTGTGGCTTTAGACCTGGGATGGCTGTCAAAAGGTTCTGATGTGCTCGTCTGGTAGTTCTAAGGTGGTTATGGCAGCTGGGTCGCAAGGCCTTTTTTGTTTCCTGTTCATTCAGGCCTGAGCTTTGCAGCAACCAGTGCAGTCTTCAGAGCAACAGGAAAAAAATATCCTCTGGGCCACTGAACTGCTTTTACGTTACCAGGTTTCTCCCCGAGCCAAGCTGACCAATTTTTCTTCCCGACACCACCCTCCCACCCATTTCCCCATCGAAACTCACTGTCCCCACCCCAAATATCTCTACAGCTATCTTACAGGCAAATATATCTTAGCAACTTTAAAAACTTTGGTTCTAAGAAAACGCTTGGTCAGTTATCTTGAGGAAAAGTGGGAATGCTTGTTCTGCACATTGCTGTAGACAGAGCCCATCCCAGTAAGGTCTTAGCGCTGTACATCAAGTCACAATCCAATACAATCCACTAAGCAAGTGCACAAATTCTAGTTTACTTTTTAGAGCAGATTGAGTCATCTTCTGTCTTTTGAAACCGCAACTGAGTTGCCTTTCTTCACACTGTCTGGTAGAAATTGTCTGCCTGTAGATGGTTCTGTTTTTGCATGCTGTAGAAGCCACTTAATCTTGCATCTGGTTCTGCAATTCTTAGCATTCTCTGGGAACTGTCCACCTGGACTCTGGTTCCTTTCTTGCAGTCCACAGATACTAGCTGATTATTTAAGGAAGAAGGCTATTTAATGAGAGGAGGAATAAAACCACAAAGAATTAGCTGCTTTACATTATCGCAAATCAACAGAAATTTAGTACCTAACTCAGATGAGATAATAGTTTCACAATTCATTGACAGACTGTATGCAGAGTATCACATCCTGTTCTAGTACCAACTATACTTTTATGAAGGACACTGACAAACTGTATTTAAAGGTGAAATGTCAAAAAACGATGTCAAATAGGAAGACAAAGGAACTGGAAAAAAAAAAAAAAAGACTGGTGAAATGATTTCAAATCCTTGAAGTGCAGACCTGTGTTTAAAGGGAGTTGAAGAATGAGTGGAAGGTAGGCAGATTTTAAAAACAAAGGGATGATTTCTAACCACTCAGACTGTAGAACACCATCATAGGCTGGGCCAGCCCGTGTGTTCCTAGTCATTCCATATACTTTATGAGTGGGTCTGTTTCCCAGCTTTGGACATTGGCAACTGTATCCTGACCCAGTATAGAGGCTGTGCGCGATGCACATTTGTTCAAAGGAAAATCGGAGGCAGGATAACCGCAGGACAGAATTTTTACATGGAAGGGTTAACCAGATGGTAAATTATATTACGTAATTGTTCAGGCTGTTTCCAATTCTTAAGGTTGTATGATTAAAATAAACCAACTCAAGGCAAAAGGCAGAATCAGAGTTGGAAGGGATTATGATTTATTTCCCTTAATACAGGTTTTTCTTATCTTTCAAAATAGGCAGATTTAGAGGCCCTTTACATTTGTACTGAAAACAAATATATTTTCTCCCGTAATATGAAATCTGCCTCTCCCTACCTTGTCTACTATTACTTTCCACCACCTCTTCATCTTTTGTGACCTTTCCACTTGGTGCTTGCCTTTGATGCATTGACCTGTCCTTTTGCCTTTTGTATACCCTCATGATCTTCCAGCCCTCTCCTATTATCTCCCTCCCTTTGTGACTTCTTTTCCCTCCCAATTCTAAGTTGACTGATGACTGATAAATGCCAGGTGATCAAGTTTAATGTCTAATATAAAGAATGATTTCGGAATAAATCCAGAGGTATTTGTTCATTTGAAAACTTTAGAGTACCTCCAGAAAACTGGATCCATGGAAGGTCAGGATTCATTAACCAATGGATAAAATTCACCTTGTAATAAGTCCAACCCTGGGCCAAGTACTATATATTTGATTCATACTATCGCCTGGTATGGATTTGAGGCTATGAATAGCAAAGTAAACATTTCACTGGTTAAGACACAAGGTTTCAAGCAATTTCAATATAAGTGTAAGTTTTCCTAGATTCATCATTCAAGAGACTTTTTCAAGACAGTACCTTAGTTGGTGTTCGATACCAGCAAAGCAGTGGTATCCACTGTTTCTTCTGATTGATGAATAGGAATGCTATTATAATAGACAGGCATATAATTATGGGAACCACAACTGAGGCAATGGAGTCCAGTGAAGAATCTTCACTTGGGTGCAGTCTGTTATCTCTGTAATCTACCTGGAGGTGACCCATATCTAGGAGAAGAAAAATTACAAGCATTTATTACCTAAACCGAAATTGTTCAGCATTATTTTAATGACATTGCAAATAGAGATCGGCAACTTGGTTTTATTGCTTCTCAGTTTTTTCAGGCTA